GTGTATAAGAGACAGCACACACACACACACACACACACACACAGAGATATTTAATCTAATTAGAAGTAATTAGTTTAGAAAAAATTTATTTCTGAAAGAAAAAATTTTAATAAAGAGTGTACTTTAATAGGATTTTTATTTTATTGAAATTTATTGAAAAATTATTATATATATACAGGGTGTCTCATTTTTATTTCCCCAGGTAAATATCTCGAAAAATATGCAAGAAAAAATGTTTCAGACAAAAGTTGTAGGATATGAAGAGGAATAAATAATGATAAAATCAATTTCATAAAAAATAAATTTTTCAAGGTCACATAGAGATCCACTTTTTTAAATGATATGATTTTTTTAAAATAATATGATTTCTCTAATTGCCAAAGTAAATAAGACAGATGTGAATCGGCGTAGTATTAGTACGCAAATTGCAAATTTAACATAAACTTTATTCTCACATAAGATGTCAGATGTTTTGGCTATTCTTTTTAGCCATCCTCAGTGACAATTGATAACTTACTTGTTTTCTTATTAAATGTGCATCTTTCGCAGTTGCAGTGGGCGAGGAAATAATTCTCAATACATCCAATTGCAGTCCATATGCAGTTGAAGGGTTGCATGGTCAAACTGTATATCCTCAAAGAGTGATGGTAAAAAGATCTGTTTATTCGCCCATTTTTTGGATCTCAAATTTCAAACTTTTTTTATGCCAAATAGTATGCCAAATATTATACGATGTAACATTAATCCTAGAGAAATTTTAAGATGAGCATAGACACGGTTCCGGAGATATGAAGGGGTGAAAGTGATGGTTTCTCATAACCCATAAAAGTACACGAAACTCTTCAAGTGTCATACCAAGGTATATATTTAACGAAGTGAAACATATTGTTTCTTATGGATTTTTTACGCCGGATTAAAAAATGACCTTAGTTTTCGTTTAGCATGAAAATTCCCCGAGATAAATGGAGTTGAAGTGACACTTGACGCCGCCTCTCACGGATCGGGATACTTTTCTACTGTGAGTCCTTTTGCCTCTCACAGAGTATAGGATGCTTTTTTAATGTGAGTCCCCTTGCCTCTCACAGATTGGGGTGTTTTTTAAATGTGAGTCCCCTGAGGCATTGCTTTATTGAAGAATCAACGATCGTCAAGATATGAAAAAATATTTTTCAATTTGAATATTTCCTCGGTAATTGAATTGCTTCAAAGACTTGGTCAATAATTAATACGGAATGTATTTTCAGGGTGCTTTATAAAGCATGGCCCCTTATAAATGAAATAGCGGTGAATAATAGATCGGTCTCTGAACAATGAATCGTAGATGATCCATTTGACAGAATATACCTTCAATGTTACCAATGAACTTCAGCCACGCATTCTTCCTTATGTAATACACTTTGACTGGAAATCATCACTTTCACCCCCTTGAATCTCTGGAATCATACCTATGCTCATCTTGGAATTTTACTATGGGATTAATGTTTCATTTAATAGTACTATTTGCCATTAAAAAAGTTTGAAATTCGAGATCCAAAAAATGGGCAAAATTTGCCATCACTTTTTGATGTAAAAATGAAGCAGAAAAATAGTCAACTAAGGTGAATAACAATTTATAAATCACTCATTTCCAACGTAGTAAAACGCACACTCCGCATAGTCCAATGATAAAATTGTATAATAATAAATAAATAAATAAATAATAAGTGTGTAAATCGTGGTCAGAAATTAAAAATTAAAAAGAGAAAAATGATATGACCAAAAGATAAAACTTATTTCGTAACACAACTGTGTACGTCAATGTTCGTGCGAATAATGATTTATTATTGATTACGCTTTCATCACCAGTGTTTGTAGGTCAAACAAAGTGTTGTCAATTTTATAAAAACGTTAAACGTGTGGTAACAAAGAATAGGCACAATCTAAAAATTCAGTGTTTTAGCGTTTTCGATTTGTTGACTCGATCCGACTCCGAGTCAAAATAGTCTGTTCTTTTTAGCGTTTCTTACACACTTAAACTATTCTTTTATAACTAAAAAGAACAGACCATCGACTCGGAGTCGGATCGAGTCAACAAATCGAAAACGCTATTAGTCTGTAAGTTACTTTTGTAATACTGTTTTTCTGGCGCTTAATATTTATCATTTCCGATATCAACCGTTCCAATTTCTTTCTATATCCAGAATTTCAATGTTCCAGAATTCCAATTAAATTCGTGATTACGATACAGTCTGTGGTCGGTTATGACCGAATGAGAATTAGTATTTCTATTAATGTCATTATATTCTACGGTTCTGCGAGACTAAGTATCTTTTTGTTTGCCCTACGTAGCAAGCATCGCAATCGTTACATGAAATTTTGTAGACTACATTTTTCTTTAAGCGATTAGGTAAAGAATTTTTGTGGACTTTAATAAAGCTTCTTAGTTTATTAATTCTGTAAAATATATAGCTTTGCATCGTTGTCTTTAATAGTATTTTTAAATTTATCTGAGACATTTTTTACATAAGGAATTGTAAATCAATTAATCCTTTCCTCGGTTGTTGTATCACTTGTGTTTATTTATTTAATAAGATCCTGATTCTCGTTGATATTGTTTAAAAATTAAATTTCAACGAGTAATCATTCTAAAGTAGTATATTTACTATATTAACTATATACTATAAATTCTTTTGGTGAAATTCTGGATGAGAGAGAAGAAAGACTATTGACTAAACCCATGATCGTGCTCCTTTTTTGAGAGTTCTTCAACTGCATGAACAGCAATTCATGGATAATATGGATATATTGAGAACTGCTTTCTCGTTCAACAACTGTGGAAGGATGCACATTTAATAAGAAAACGAGCGAGAGTTAGCAATTGTCACTGAGGATGGCTAAAAAGAATAGCCGAAACGTCTGACATCTTGTGAGAATAAAGTTTATGTTAAAATTGCAATTGGCGTATTAATAACGATGCCGATTTCCATTTACCTTATTTACTTCTGTATTTTTAATTCTGGGAATCTTGTTAGATTTTTATTATTTTAAATTACTTTGGCTGAAAATACATGCGTAAAATACGTTATTCTTCCTCTAATTATTCTGCATATAAAAGTATTATATTAAGATAAAGTTATCGAAAAATCAATTAAATATTTCATGAGATATTTAATACTTTATTATGCGGGTTATGCCATATTTCAACATGAAATATGAAATATCTCGTGATTTGTTGATAATTATACCTCAATACTTTTATGCATAGAACAACAATAAGATGAATCGAATAGTGTAAAGAAAACACACAATTGCTATTTAAAAAAATGTAAATTTTTACCTTTTTTTGCAAAGCAACTGTGTGTTTTCTTTACATCAATCGATTCATCTCATTATTCTATGCAAAAAAGTATTGGTATAATTATCAAGAAATCAATAGTTTACGAGATATTTCATATTTTATAGCATGATGAAGTATGAATATCTCGTGAAGTATTGATTTTTCGACAACTTTATCTAATACTTTTATATGCTGAATAATTGAAGAAATTATAATATTTAAAAAAAATCATATTTCATTTAAAGAAAGTGGATGAAGGTATGTATACCTTCTGTATGTAACCTTGAAAAATCAATTTTTTGAAAATTTAAAATTAATTTCATCATTATTTGTTGCTCTTCATATCTTACAACTTTTGTTTTGAACCATTATTCGTATCTTGCGTATTTTTTGAGATATTTGTTTGGAGGAATTAAATTGAGACACTCTATACATATATAAATATACAGAGTGTCCAAAAAGTTTCGGGACACCTGAATATCATGGAAAATATAAGTTTTATAGAAAAGTATTTCAGACAAAAGTTGTAAGGTTCGAAAAGATCTATTTATTGATTTTATTGGTTTGACCTTGGGTGGCGTCGCCAAAGATAGGGTAAAATCACTTTAAATTTTTTAAATAGAACTTCCTATTTTTTATTGCATATTTTTGTAACTTAGCTTGAGAGCTTTCCAAAACACTATAATAAAATATTTTTCAATTAATCACTTTTCGAGTTATAAGACTTGGAAGTTACAGTACCACCGGCATGAGCATTACCTAAGGTGTCCAAATAATGACTGAAATCTTTTGAATGTTGTTTGGGATTATAAGCTTGACAACATGTGTCAAGGCCATGATCATTGGAGATTGTTTCTCTTATTTTCATTTTTGAAAATCATTTTTATTTTTTGAAAAAAAGAGACATCCTCCAATAATCATGACCTTGACACATGTTGTCAAGCTCATAATCTTAAACAACATTCAAAAGATTTCAGTCATTATTTGGACACCTTAGGTAATGCTAATGCCGGTGATACTGTAACTTCAAAGTCTTATAACTCGAGAAGTGATTAATGGAAAAATATTTTGTTATAGTGTTTTGGAAAGCTCTCGAGCTAAGCTACAAGAATATGCAATAAAATAGGGGTTCCATTTAAAAAATTTAAAGAGATTTTACCCTGTCTTTGGCGACGCCACCCAAGATCAAACCAATAAGATCAATAAATAGATTTTTTCAAACCCTATAACTTTTGTCTGAAACACTTTTCTGTAAAACTTATATTTTCTATGATATTCAGGTGTCTCAGAACTTTTTGGACATTCTGTACATACACTGCTCAAAAAAATTATGGCATAGAAAAATTTTAGACAAAAATTGGGCAACTTTGGCTAATGGTAACTTCGCGAAAAATCATCAGTAGGATGATAAATTTTCAAATGAATTAATTTCAAATGAATGCTTGAAATCTCTACTTTAAGGTATTATGGATCGATTTTAAGTTTAAGGCATCCCTGCTACTATAAACTCTTAAAACAGAACATGTTTGCCATACTGAAAATTGCAAAGTTTGACGGCATGCACGGACTTGCTAAAATTTTTCTCGGGGATGCGGTTTGCAGCGTCATAAAGTTTGAACCTTTTTCTTTAACAATAAAATATAAAGAGTTAGGCCAATAAACGAGCAAAACTTTTTTGGTTGATTAATTAATACAAAAACTGATAATTTAATAATTAATGAATTGATGGAACGTTTCGGCTTACTTATTGTTAGTCATCATTAACCATCATACAAATTCACATTACAATTAAAGTTTTGCTCGTTTATTGGCCTAACTCTTATCTATTTTATTGTTTCATACATATGAGCGGTAATTATTTTATAACTTTTTCTTTAATTTGAAAAAAAATAAGTCGTTACGATTTTTTTCATAAAGTTACAGTATTTTAAAGTAACCTTGTATTTTTCTCATGTATGGTCGGCATTAGTCGATGTGCATCATAGGAAGGTTGACGATTGGATCTTGCACATTGTGTGTACACAGGCGTGTGTAAAACATACACACACAGTGTAAAATCCGATCAATCTCCCTATGGTGCAAATCGGGTAATACCGACTATAAATAAGAAAAATGCAAGGATTACTTTAAAATGCTGTAACTTTGAAAAAAAATCGTAGCGACTTGTAGTTTTTTTTTCAAATTAAAGAGAAAGGTTCAAATTTTATGACGCTGCAAACCGTAAAAAAAATTTTAGCAAGCCCGTGCACCTGTGTGAAGTTAGCCCCCCAATATTAAAAAATCTAAAATTTTCTTGTGGCAAACGTTTGCCCATCGTTTGCCCACCAATGCCCCGTTTGAATTTTTGTGTGCCCCCCTCTAGTTCGAAAGTTATACGCAAATCAATTTTGCGGGGACCAACTTTACACTAGCCCCCAATGTAAAAAATCTAAAATTTTCTTGTGAGCAAACGATGGGCAAACGTATGCCACAAAAAAATTTGGATTTTTTAACATTGGAGGCTAGCGTGAAGTTGGCCCCCGCAAAATTCATTTGCGTATAACTTTCGAACTAGAGGGGGGCAAACAAAATTCAAACGGGGCATTGGTGGACAAACGATGAGCAAACGTATGTCACAAGAAAATTTTGGATTTTTTAACATTGGGGGGCTAGTGTGAAGTTGGCTCCCGCAAAATTCATTTGCGTATAACTTTTGAACCAGAGGGGGGCAAACAAAAATTCCAACGGGGCATTGGTGGGCAAACGATGGGCAAACGTATGTCACAAAAAAATTTTGTATTTTTTAACATTGGAGGGCTAGTGTGAAGTTGGCCTCCGCAAAATTGATTTGCATATAACTTTCGCACCAGAGGGGGGCAAACAAAAATTCCAACAGGGCATTTATGGGCAAACGATGGGCAAACGTATGCCACAAGAAAATTTTGGATTTTTTAATATTGGGGGGCTAACTTCACACAGGTAGTCCGTGCATTCCGTCAAACTTTGCAATTTTCAGTATGGCAAACATGCTCTCAGATTTAAGAGTTTACAGTAGCAGGAGTGCATTGAATTTAAAATCGACCTACTATAATCGACCTTAAAGTAGAGATTTCAAGCTTTCATTTGAAAAAAAGTTTATCATTATACGATGATTTTTCGCGGAGTTACCGTTAACCAAAGTTGACCAATTTTTGCTCAAAATTTTTCTATACCATAATTTTTTTGAGTAGCATATATACAGGGTGTTCGGAAAGTGCCGGGACTCCTTAATATTTCAGAAACTAAGCGTTTTTGAGAAAAATGTTTTAGACAAAAGTTGTAGGCCTTAAAAGAATCTATTTAATGATTTTATCCGTTTGATCATAGGTGGCGTCGCCAATGTTAGATAAAGGTAACATAAATTTTTTTAATGGAACATCTTATTTTTGATTCTAGAATCTAATAGCTGGTGTTAAGAGCTTTCCAAAGCACTATAATAAAATACTTTTTGGTTAAGTAAATTTCGAGTTATGAAGCTTGAAAGTTACAGTACCGCCGACATTAGCATCATCCAAGGTATTCGAACAATGTCTAAAACTTTTGGACTGTTGTTCAGGATTATGACCTTGTCATAACATATGTCAATGTTGTTACCATTGGAGATTGTTCCTCTTTTTTCTAAAAAATAAAAATTTTCAAAAATGAAAATAAGAACAACTTTTAATGACCTTGATCTTGACAAATGTTGTTAAGGTCATGATCCTGAACAACATTCAAAAAGTTTTAGTCAGTGTTCGGACACCTTGGATAATGCTAATGATGACGGTACTGCAACTTTCAAGCTTCGTAACTCAAGATTTACTTAATCAAAAAATATTTTATCTGTGTGTTTTGGAAAGCTCTTGACACCAGCTATTAGATTCAGAAAACAAAAATAGAGTGTTCCATTTTAAAAAATTAAAGTGATGTTTATCTGATCTTGGCGACGTCGCCCAAGGTCAAACCAATAAGATCAACAAATAGATCTTGTTAAGTCTTACAACTTCTGTCTGATATATGTATATTAGGGTGGGCCGAAAAAAATTTTTTTTGAAAATCGATTAGTAATATCCCCCAAAAGTTAGCTATGGACTTCAATATAGTCTGGGTAAAATTTCATCGAAATCGATTAATATCTTCAGGTTGCCCCTCGACTTTGAAATTAGTAAGTTTATGCATTTCTTACAAATTTTTAAAACAACTGTGTGTTTTCTTTACACCAATCGACTCATTTCATTATTCTTTGCCTAAAAATATTAGGTACCATTACTAAGAAATCAATAGTTTACAAGATATTTTATATTATAAGTATATCGAAATATGGTATGATAAAAAGTATAAAATATCTCGTAAAATATTGATTTTTCGATAACTTTACCTTAATTCTTTTATATCCAAAATAATTAGAGGAATCGTATTATGTAAAAAAAATATAATTCTTTAAAAAAAAATCGATGTGATCTTGATCTGATCTTAACGACGCCACTTAAAATAAAATTAATAATATTTTCTTATGTACCTCCCCGAACCGTACAATTTTTATTTGAAACATTTTTCCATATGTATCATATTTTTTGAAAAATCTTAATGTATTATTTAAGAATATATTTCGGATCTGTCATTTTGAAATGTAAATATACTTCTGACCTCGAATTCGTGTTCAGCGACCAAAAAACAACAATACTAAACAGTATTGAAATTCAAATATTTTTCCGAATTTTGACACATCTATGAAGAAATGCATAAACTTACTAACTGCAAGATCGAGAGGCAATCTGAAGATATTAATCGATTTCGATGAACTTTTACCCAAATCATATTGAGGTCCATAGCTAACATTTAGGGGGTATTACTAATCGATTTAAAAAAAAAAATTGTTTTCGGTCCACCCCAATATACACTATCCCCGAAAAGTTTCCGAACAGAAATAAAATGTTTATGATTGGAGTTTTAAGCCGCTGAACTTAGTGCAGCACTGTACTAAAGAGTAGATAATTTTGGCATTTTAAGAGATACTTTAAGACATTCTGTAACGATATTAAGTTTAATGCATCCCTACTACTCTAAACTTTTAAATCTGAGAGGCATGTTTGCCATACTGAAAATGTTTGACGGAATGCACGGCCTTGAGAAAATTTTTCTCGGGGATATGATTTACAGCGTCATAAAGTTTAAACTTTCCTCTTTAATTTGAAAAAAATGCAAGTCGCTACGATTTTTTTTGTAAAGTTACAGCATTTTAGAGTATTCCTTGTATTTTTCTCATGTATGGCATTACCTAATGTGCATCATAGGGAGATTGGCGATCGAATTTTGGACATTATGTGCGTGCAGGCGTGTGTAAAATATACCCACATACACACACAGTATGCAAAATCCAATCGCCAATCTTCCTATGGTGCACATCAGCTAATGCCGACCATACATGAGAAAAATACAAGGATTACTCTAAATTGCTGTAACTTGGCAAAAAAAATCGTAGCGACTTGCATTTTTTTTCAAATTAAAGAAGAAAGTTCAAACTTTATAACGTTGCAAACCGCATTCCTGAGAAAAATTTTCCCAAGGCCATGCATTCCATCAAACATTGCACTTTTCAGTATGGCAAACATGCCTCTCAGATTTAAAAGTTTAGAGTAGTAGAACTGCATTAAACTTAATGTCGTTACAGAGTGTCTTAAAGTATCTCTTAAAATACCAAAATTATCTACTCTTTAATACAAAGCCGCACTAAGTTCAGCGGCTTAAAACTTTAAACATAAAAATTTTATTTCTGGCCGGAAATTTTTCGAGGGTAATGTATATATGTATATATATATATATATATATATATGTATATATACTTATATATTTATATATACTCAAATAATATATAATTTTTTATGTATTTGCGATATATGTACAGTAAGCAAGCAAATATGCAAAAAACAATTTTATAATCAAGTACTTTTTATATTCGACATATAATACTTTTTATTTTATTTGAATATTTAAAAAAAATAATGTCGCTTTCTTTCCCTTCCCCTCCTTCCTCCAACTTTTTATTATAATCATAATTACTAGAACATCTTTTAAAATTAGTGAACTTTTTGAAGAATAATATTGATCAATAAATGTTCAATATCATTCAGAAAATATAATATGCTAATTAATATTTATCTCCAAGCGTATAAATCCGCGTTTGTCTCTACGAGCTCATATAAGTACGATAGATAAATGCGCTTAGCTAAGCTGAATGATTCTTGCGATACAAAACACAGAGAGAGAAAGGCTATTGAAGAAGCAATACAACTCTGAACAAAAGAGTCGTCATAAATGTAGGAAGGGCATGATATAACCTTGACAAACAGATATTTCTGTGAAATTGAAGATTCGGTAGAGAATCGATAGTGTCCTCGCAGAAACGTGTAATGCAACTTTGTAAACATAGCTTCACCAGAGAGTATCTCGTCGTTTAAACGCAGTCTGCCCGACGTCGCTCGACTCATAGTTTTATTGCATTGCTCGGCCAGCGGAAAAATATCTGTACGTCCCTTCAAAACCCCGCTCCCTTGATCAAAATATGAATTTGTTTTTAAGAAATTAGCCCATCTTCTACTTTCCCTACCTTTCTTGCCACTACAATATTTTCACGCTAGTGCATTCGCTACAATGCGAAATCAATTCGTTGCTTCGAGGACTCAACAAAATCACAATATCAACAATTATGCAAAATTAAGTTATTAAACATAAATTAATGAGTTTGCTTCACAATATTTAAGTCGCAAGTAAGTAGAAAAAATGCGTACATTCGAAGGCAATCTAATAATACAGCAGGTTTGGTTATGTGCCTCTGTAATTATCTTTTTAAAAATAATGTAATCTTGAATAATATCGGATAAAGAGATAAAAATTTTGAATATTTATATACAAAAATAAAAATGTTTCTGAAAAATAAAAATAGTAATAGAATGTCCTTTGGAGCAAAGTTGTTACGGCATGAACAATATTTGTTCACTCAAGCATTAACATGGAGACCATCCATATCGATTCATTCCGTTTATCGCTCTTTCCGTTTTTCATCTGCCTGACTCCAAAAAAATGTTATAAATTGACGTTAACACAGGTTACTTTCCTTTAAGAAAACACAAATCAATACAGATTAACACACTAGAGCACACTCAAACCATATATATATCGTATGTTACCGTCAAAACCCATAATCGTTAAAATCCAAAATTTCACTAGTTGAAACTAGTTTTAAATTTAGTTAAAATGAGGTCTGTAATTATACTGTTTCACATGGTTTTCGACTTTCTACGCGTAGTGAGGGCCCCCTCTCCCCCCCCCTATTTACAGGCGAAACGAAGTCTAATTGTACTACCACATAGGTTTTCGATTTTACGTCTAATCAACCATTCTAGTTTTAACTAGAATTCGGGTTTTATTGGATGGGTTTTGACGGTAACATTATATAGTCAACCGAAGTGCTGGGAGCAAGTTTTCTAATCTATTCTAATTATTCAGTTGGACAAAACACACTCAAACTCTCCTTCCGAGAAGAATTACTTGAATTTGAACAAAATTATAAATGAAAAGCGACGTGTGTCGATTGTGTTTCTTAAAATGAAAGCAGCCATAACTGACACACTACAGGGTGTCCCGTAACGCTTAATTAATATTTCAAGGTGTGAAAGAGAATGAAATTTTGAATCAAAAGTTCCTCTTTCAATTTTGGCTCAGACCATTATTTACAGAGTTATTAACGAATAAAGTTAATCAATCAGATCGCGCTTAGCCGGAGTACGCAGGAGCGTAGCATGCCGT